AAATTAAAACTTTGTTTAAAATCAATGCAACAATAATACATCTTCTTTATTTTTGCCTAGTTTCTGGCTCAGAAGATAAATTTTATTCTTCAATCCAAATCATAAAGTAATTTTAATAAAGAGTTTCTCTTAGATAGTAATGTAGTTAAGAAACATGATTAAAGAAGAAATAAAAAAGTAAATAATAACAACAAAAGTAATAAACATTCAAAACTTTATTTTTTTTATATATTTTATAATGGTAATAAATAAAATATAAAATACAGAAAAGCATTTTTCTATTATGTTTGTATGTATTAATTGATACTAGAAATATGTAAATTTTAACTACTATGAAGAAGTTGTTTATTTAAAAAGTAATTTACTTTAAGATTATCTTGTATACAGTCAAAGATCTTTGCCTCACCAAAATTTATAAGTAGTGTAAAAGAGGTCCAAAACATGCTTCAAGACCTTAGCCTTCTCTTTGTACCTACTTTCAAGGTACTACATCCCATATTAAAAAAATTCACACAATATTCTATTAGTCATATTAGTTATACATCATAAAAATTCATTTGTTTTTTAATTTATATTATAAAAGTGAATTTATAATAATAATTTAAAATACTAAGTAAGCCTAGAAATCTTATAAGTCTTTTAAAAATATTTTTAAAAATTCTTTATAGTCACTTTATAATTTTATAAAATAATTTTATAAAAAACCTAAATAATATTACAAAAATTAATAAAAACTACAAAAAAAATTATAATTAGTCTTTGAGTACTTTTGTAATGTAATCACTTAATTAGAAATATTTTATTACAGCTTGATAAATTTTTAGACCATAATAAAAATACAAAATAATTTAATGTTTTTTCAACTCAATAATTTATTATTTGATTATGGTGTTATTGTTTTTACTTCTTTTGTTTCATGACCATCATATACAACTTTTTAATGAAAAAAAAGATATTATCTACTTTGAATTTTGCAATTAAGTGTAAAATAATATAATAAAGAAAAAAAATTAAAATACTAAAAAAATTAAAATAATTACTTCTAAGATTCATTTAAATTCTATTTATGAGATATTTTTATATTTAAAAGATTCTTAAGATTTAAAAAATCTTTAAAATATTTACTAATCATTAAATAAGTAAATTATCTATATATTTTATTTAATTTTAATTTTAGAAGTACCTAATATACTAATTTTAGTGAATCTATAAATTAAAAGATGTATTAGTAGAATTTATAATAGCTAAGTACCATATAAAAATATATATGTATGTACCAGAACTTATAGGTTTTTTTAAGTGTTACATGCTTTCTTTGATTAAAGACTAGTGAGAATTCCAATTGATAGAAAAAAATTAAAATTAAAATTAAAATTAATCTTTTATATTCTTAAGGCTAATAGATATAACTTTAAATGTGATCCAAAGCCAATAAACACTCTTTCGGTAAAAAATGTTATATGAAAAGTTTTAGTATCAAAACTCATCAAGCAAAGAAAAGAAAAACAAAAGCATTTAAAACTTATATGTTATAATGTTGAAAGGCTTATAATTTTTATTTGGATATTTTTTAAATTAAAAACTATTATTATAAGATATATGTTATTAGAAAAATAATATTCAATTGATTATTATATAATAAGTATATGTACAATGACAATTTTAAGTGAGGATATTTGCAGTAGATGGTTTTTTTTTATACTGATAGTCATTTCTATTATAAAACTATAAAACTATAGGTTTCAAAAATAAAGTTCTATTTTTAATCTATTATGAGTATAAATAGGTATTATTCTCTCATTAAAATAATACCAATTTTTTTTTTTAACTAATTTTTACCAAAATCTCTCTAGTTTTAGAATTTTTCTTTCTTAGTATAATTGTACTATGATAAATAAAGTTTATATTATTATAATTATATATAAAAATTATTTTAAGAATAATTATTTCAAATTATAAATTATAAAATTATCTTTATATGATCATTTCCAAGTAATAAAAGTTATTATATAATATATAAAAATAAATATTTTAAATTCCAAAATTTTCACAATTTTTGCTACAACTAGCAAATAAAGGTCCTATTGTACATGATTCATGTATCAACCAATATATAGCAAGGATTTAAAAAGATATAATATTATATATGCCAAGTATATTCACAATGATAACAACCATTTTAGGTTTCTAATCCAAAATTAATTTTATTATTGATGTAATAATTTTAAGAAGATACTTACAAATCATTTATTAATAATAAATTAGCTTCTATTTATGTCCAAGCTACTAGTAATAGAACTACTTATATTTAATATTAACCATCTTTATGTAATATCCAATACCTAATTAGCTACTACCATTTTTAACAAAGTCTATTTTTATGTACAAAGCGACAACAACACAACAAAGACTAAACACTACATAATGGTATAATAGAATGTCTATGATATACCAACCAATATTTAAAAAATAGTAATCAAAGCCCAGTACTAGTCCATCACCTATCATGAATTATTTTGAACTACTTTGGCACTATGTAGAAGTAGAAGAAAAGACCATTCTTCCTTTTAAATATTTTTGAGATTATTAATAAATTCCTTGATCATGAGTATTAAAAAATTATTTTTTGGATCACTTGAGTTTTGGTCTATTACTTTCTTTGTACCATACCTTACTTACTAAACTATTGTCAAAGAAGTCTAAAATGTTCTAAGTAATATAAACTTTAAATAACTTATTAAAATCTTGCTTACATTTCTATGGTCTTTATTTGTTCAATAAATAAATCAAGTTCCATCACTTACTAATTCTATTAAAAAAAATATGAAAGAAGTAATAATCCTTTAAAGCTATTGGATCTTTAATAAGATAATTTTATTGTCTTCTTTTGGTAATAACTTTAGCTTATAAACTACCTAATAATAAACATTATTGTTTTGGAATCATTACTTCTTCATCTTTCTCATGATATATATTCTGCTATACTATTTCATGATCTATATAAACAAACTTTGGCTCAATCTAATGTAATCTTAGTCTATTTCTTAACTTACCTTGATATTTCTAGCAAAATATTGATTTTAAAGAGCCATAACTTTTGATATTTATATTATGATATCTTAATTTTTAGATTCACAAGTTTTATATTTTTTATATTTTTAAACATGTATTGTATCATAACCACTTTTCTTGAACCAATTGTTTTTTGAAAGAAACTATTTTATAACTTATGTATATTATTATAATAAGGCATATGCATTATCTATGAGATCCTTCTTCACAACTAAGGATTATAAACATTAAACTAAAAGAGCAAAACATTCACCTCAATTAAATAAAATTAATGTCTTTATTTATATTACAACCATCAAAAGTACTAAATTTTCAAAATAGCCTTCTTCTTTAGTACCATTATTACATTAAAATGTGATCAGTTTTGCAATACATTAAGTTTCTTTTCACTTGGTTAAATTAGCTAATAGACTATATGTGCTTGCAAGTATAATATATAAGTAATAAAATAAATATGATAATTATATAAATCTAAAATTATTAGAATCATATCTTACACTTGTATTTTTTCTTAAGTGCAAATAGACCTTCAATCTCTAAGATATTAAAATGTAATTCTTTGGTCCCTTTAAGATTGTAGACTAAAAAAAATAAGACATAATTTTATTTAATAAAGATCTATTTGCTTTAAGTCTTGTTGGGTTTGTTATCCTTTTGGCTTTCAAGTTAGATTCAAGTATTTTCTTTTTATTTCTTGACTAGGACATATTCATCTTTATATTAATCTTTTTTTACATAAAATACTAGGAATAATTTTAAATATAAGACTATAAAGTGGTAAACTACACAAGTCTATTTGTAATACTAAGCTCTACTTAATTTCTACTTCAATCTACTATGATATGGATTGCAATTCCATGTATTGACAATGGTCAATCCATGAAAAGCATTACTATTTATTTTTAGCTTTAATCTTAATGTGGCATTAAAAAGTACAAAAATACTTATTTGATGTGAATTTGAAAAAAACAAAGTTTGTACCATGAGAATAAAATGACCAAATTTAGACTTTGTGCTTTGATTTATAAAAATTTTCAAAAAATCTTTTTAATAGTTTGTAACAAAAAAAAGTATTGATTTTTATAGACTTCTAAGTGTATAGCCTTTGAAAAAAAAGGTAGGATAATTTACCTTTATATAATACTAATTCTTCTATATGATACTAAAAAATTATGTAATAATTAAAAATTAAAGTTATCTAGTACAAACTTGCTAATAAGTTGTTATTTAAACAACTTTGCTAATTGATATAAAAATAAACGTCAATTTTTTTGTAAAAGTAATTAGAACTTTGAGCATTAATATTAACAATGTTTCTACTCCAACATGAAGAATTTTTTTTTGTTTCTTTTTTTTTTTGTTTTTTTTGTGTTTCAACACTTTGTTGATTTGTCTCCTACTCCTACATAATACCATTGGTAATCTTTTTGGATTTTTAGAATATTAAGTGGAATGTAGAGCTAAAATAGTTAGCAAAAACAATCCCTAGATTGTCACTAGAAGATGAATATAATCCCATTGAATATTATTTATAAGAGACAATTTGATGTTTTTGTAAATATGTTTACAACATAGTCCAACCTATACACCACAAATACTAGATAAAGCTGCAAAAGAACAATGTGAAGAGTAGGAGGTCCCAAATACAATTCTGACTACTAATTTGGACAATAGGTATGGGACATGCTTTGGGGGCAACGCTGGTCTGAGAGGCTGCCCACTCTCCAGCATCCTCTCGCTTTTGGACTCAGCCCTCTCCAACCGAGGAACCCAATCAATTGAATTCGACTTGGGATCTAACTGGAATACCAACTATGAACGCTTTTTTTTCTGGTATAAAACCCTGTAATCGGCATGCTGTCCTCTCGTTAAAAGTCCTTTCACAATTAAAACACCGTCTGAAGAATGCTGATTTACAAGAGTGATGCTCTGGTGAAGCTTGAGAGTTTGCCTCCATCATCAGAGGTTCAAATTGAGTTGCTCAACATCCAGATCAAAGATGAGATCTTGGGACACATGTAAGACCCCGATCTTAATCCAAACTCCATTCACCTGGCGAACCACCAGACAAACATTGGCAGGGACTTCCTCGTTACCAGAGAGTGCCACGATATTCAATGTACCATCGCTGTTCGCCACAAATCCTTTCATTGAGCTTTTTCCCATAAACAGGAGTTTTGCTCTATTCATTGCATACTCATCAGCAGAGTCTGGGTCGTAGTTCGGTTTCACTGTCCTCATCCCAGTGAGGTCCACCTCACCACGAGCCTTCACTTAACCATCGAGCAGGCACGCCCGCCCATTGGATCCGAACACCTTGGATTGACGAAAGTTGTATGATTTAATAGGCAGAAACGAAATGATCACCGATTTTGTCTTGGTGGTGATCAAGAGGTCCGACTCCTCAACCTTGATGTCAGTTATACAGTTTGAAATGGTCATAACCACTTGTAAGTCGGCTGTGACTTCTGGGAGCGCATGTCCGTGTTGAGAGTACCACGTCGCAGTGACAAACTGGGCGAGCTTCTGAGGCGACATGGCCTTGGCTGTCTTGCATATCGTGTCTTTAACGATATTTCGTATGAAACCTCCAGCTCGATGCCCAGAAGGGTCAAAATTGAATAGACCCGGTCCTGTGGATATAGGCACCCCCTTGTCCCTCTCATCGCTTCGCGAATGAGCGGAATGACGTTAGGATTGACATCAAGTGCCCGCTCGGATTTCCTGCTCAATTCTGCCCCTAAAACAGCGTGACACGTAGAAAAGGGAACCTCACTAGCTAACTTGACTGCCAGTGTACCGAATTCAGAATAGCTCTCCTCAAAAACGAGCCCAAGAGACCATTCGGAAACAGACGGAATGTCCTCAACCTTACACACTTCTTGATTGCTTCCACCATATTTGTTTCGGGTCAAACACTTTGAGATCATGTCAGCATGTTCTGCCCTCATTTTCAGAAAAGTAATGATGTCTGAAGACTCTTGCACTGCCCGTGCGAGGGGGAACGCATGAACAAAAGACTTCTTGCCAAAGGTATAAGCAGCTTCCTGCACAATCCAGACTCGATCGTAGCACGCACCCTTGTTATCTCCTTCCAAGATCGGAGGGATGTACATGTCGAGGCCGTTCAAGAACACCAGGCATTTTGTTGCACGGGAATAGTAATAACCCATCTCAGCCAGTTGAAGTGATTTCATCTTTTGGTCTTCCTGTTCTACACAGACGCAATCAATCCAGACATGAGCCATGCTCATCTGGGCACAGATATCTAACGTAGCTACGAAAGAGGCCATGCTACATGACTTAATGGACCGTCTTGTTCTTTAGAAACTAGATGTTGCCTCTTGCTCTCGTGAGACCAGATCCTCCTTTTGCCCGTGAGACCAGATCTCATCCACTTCGAATTTGTTCTCATGCGACCAGACGTATGATATAATACAATAGTTGTCCAAATCTCTCGGGAAGGACTGCGTATGAATTTCTAACGTATCGACATGGTAGGATGCCAAACTAACTTTGACATCAATCAATTTATTGGGGACCTTCCAATTCGTGTGTGCATCCATGTATTCTCTCCCAGACTGCTTGACGAAATGCTCGGTTTTGGCTTTGGTTTCTTCACCCGAGTCGAGTAAATCCTGAGTAGAAGTGAGGAAAAGGACGGGAGTTACATTTCAAAAACTCCTCCATTGAAATTAAAATCAAAATCTAAACGGTTGTTGTAGTCAAGCATACAGAGTAAATTGTTTCACTGTATATGAAAACAAAACGCAGTCCTCTTTCAATTTTATCTTGCAATCTTCAGACTATGACCCTAGCGCAGAATGCAAACAAAACTTGGAAAGACACCTGGTGCAAAACCAACTTCCGAAGTACCTGACGCATTTCAAAGGGTGAGCGGGATTATCAAATTCATTCGCTTGTATCCTGTGTAACCTTGAGTAAATTGTCTTCAGGTTTCAAAGCACAATTAATCATCTCTAGCAGACTTATCTGTACAATTGCAGCCTACAATCCGCATGGGATTCGAAAGAAGGATGCTTGCCACGCTTGAACTGCACGCACGACGTGAAAGCTCAGCCTTGCAACTATTAAGCGCCTGCCAAGATGAGAAAGATCAGTGTCAGCGCCTGGATCACAAAGTCCAGGAGAATAGAGTAACCAAAGACAGTACAGATCAGGGTATAGCACAAATTCAATCCACACCTCAGCACCAACCACCCAGCTATTCCCATCAGAATTCACCGACAACCTACACCGACTACAATCCCATTGCTCGAATCGCAGATTTTTCCTAAATTATTAAAATCACCATAAACAGGTAAGTGAATCGCTTACAATCAGAACTTGTGCACGCGAGATGATCCAAGCGTGCGCTTCCTCCCCAAGCCTCCAGCTAATCACATCAAGGTCCACCATGACTTATTCTGAAACACGGTCATGAGCTTCATTCTCAAGTCCACCAAGAAAACAAGGTTGAAGAGTCTGCGCTCTGAGAAAGATGGGGAGGAAGACCTCATCCATCCAGACAGCATGTCAGAATAACAATGGAAGCATGCTTGGGAGTCGTCTGTTGATTGCATGATCTAGTGGAACGATCTAGATGCAATCAATTGGAAAGATCAAGTGCCCGATACATAAATTAGAACTACCCTAAACTACCCTGGTATTGCAATCCCGCTTCGTGCCCACGTGGACTTCTCTGAGCTTCAAACTAGGATTCCTGACTGTCTCCGGTTCTGAACTTTGCGCGAGATGAAGGGTTCTCTCCACACCAGCGCAACCACTTGCACTCTTTTTTATTTCCAAAATTACCTCGTTTGGATCTCAAATGTTTCATAATGATCGTCAATTGTTGTATTTGTTAACACCTCGAATGGAACTCAAAGTGCGGCAAATGGGACTGTCACGTCATCATCACATGGCAGATCCTACAGCAAGCAGGCAAATATTAGGTCATAATTCGGAATGTTCAAGTGAAATATGTTCATCTCAATCACTGACAATAGCGTCTTCTCCTGCTGCTCAACGAAGCTATCAAGCACTTCACCAGCCTTTCCCATTGCACCATCTGAATCTAGGTCACGGTTTGCATGAGAATCTGAGCCCAATTGACACCATTTCCATGTCCACTCCTGTCGAAGACGCCTCCACCAAAGAAACCTTCATGATGCAAACGAAACGCTGACCCCTTGTCTCAGACCTTCAATAGAGAATAGAAAAATATACTTCTAGTTGTAATGTGCTGTCGTTTGCTCACAAACAGCTTTTCTATTTCTTAAAGTTTACTTTCTGCCAACACAGATTGTAACACACACACACAAGGTCTGCTGATACCCATGCAATGTCATCCAAAAAATTTATCTACCCATTCTCAGGTTGATTTTATAAATCTTCTAAATTCATATATACAAAAGTCTAAATTTTAAGGTATTTAGTCGACACCCATTCCTATCCATTCTTAAACATTGAATTTATCTTAGTAATTATTGAATATTTACATAATCATAACAAGCGAACCATTTTCTCCCTATTTAACAATCTTAGAATCTCGGAAGAGAATGTCAATTTCAAAAGATTTGAGGACTTGCGGACACTCCCTTGAAACAGAAATGCATTGTAATTTTTATTCCAATAACAATCCTTGAGATCAAAAAATTGAACAAGGCAAAGCCTGTAATGAGCCGGGGCAGTACATCAATATCTTAATGTCGACACTTAAAGATTCCTAATCTCAAGATCTATGGACGGTTCAAAGTCAGAACCATCCAAGGTTTCAAATTTTCACTGCACTACAAATGTAACTGAATGCTTGCCATCGGTCAAGTAACTGGAGAGCCAATCTGGCGGCACCCAAATCCTATGCTTTTCACAATTAAAATCGTTGATGATCAAAAGCTCCACAAATTATGCAACCGATCTCAAACGACGATTTAAAGCTTTCTAACTAAAGTAACATCATGCAAGTAGCTCTACTTTATACTTCAAGGATCTCTTCAGGTAGTTCGAACCGAGATCCCCCAGGCAAATAGTTCCGACAGGCATAGAATAGTGCATCATGAAACTTGGGAGCATTATCCAAAAACACGAAGTGACCAGCCTGCAATGAGAGATCAACAGCGTAGAAAAATAAGCAAACTCTGCATGGGACTTTCAATATACGCAGAACTCAATTGAGTTAAGTAGAGCTGGTAACTTGTCAGTGACCCTACCAGGACGATATAAATTGAGGGGTTCAACTTTTAGCTACTTAGTGCACGTGTTCATGCGAAAACAGAATCATTGGCATCAGCAGTAATCAGCATATCAGCAACAGAATAGTATGTACCCTGGGCACACGAAGAATTTCACATGGAAGATTTGATCCCAATCGTTTCCGAGCTTCCTTTGCACCTTCGAAATTCATCCAGTCGTGCGTGCCATAAATGAATGAGGTCGGGACTTTCCAATTTGGTGCACTGCACTCATCACAGCAAAATTTTCTTCCTTAAATATTTCAAAAACACTCTAAGACTCAGAATTAGCATTACAGTTAGTTACAATCAACAACAACGTTTCGCTATCAAAAAACAGTACAAATATGACGAAAGGGGACAATCACAAAAGGAGTGTCAACGCATGAAACATGGCCAAAAGAGCAAGGACGACAAATTATAGTTCAGAAGTATCATTCCCGATAGAGAATGAAGCTTCACTGCATCCATACCTATCCACAAGAGGTGTACGGGCTAAGGCTCCGAAGGAAAATATGTAGTTAAGGCAAAGTTCCCCACTTGCTTTAGCAGCAGCTGTATGAAAGATGTAATCTGCCAATAGGGAGGCCAGTTTATAGGTAATCATAATTGGTATATGAGAGTCTTGATTGCTCAGAAATGTGGTCATAGCCATGGCCATATTGTAATATTCACATTATCTCCAAATCAAGACAATACAAAGACGCTTCGCAACTTTGCTAACATCGGATGAGTATATTAGTACAGTATACCGAGATTAAACTCATGATAAAGCTTACCTGATAGCAACTTGGTCTCTACATCAGATAAAGGATCGCGTTGTTCAGAATTTCCAAACCTTCTTACAGCATACCCATTAACCAACTTCGGACCCCACGGTCCTAACCCCCTGTAGCCGATGAAAACCACATTTACTAACTTTACAACAACTAATATTGTCGGTGTGAAGGCACAATGGCCAGAAGCGACCGCACTACGAAGCACTAGAAATATTACTAATCTATGAAGCATGGGTCATTCCGCACAAAAGACTAAACGAATGTTATTAGATTCTGTATGATAAAAACTACACAGTAACTTGCATACCATTAACATAGTCTCACCTTATGATTTTTTGTGGAGTGAAATTGGATTCCCAGAGGCAGTTGATCAGAACCCCTGGCCATGTTGATTTAAATTTCATAATTCTATCAGAATCAACATTAAAACCTGCTGGACCCACTAGCACAAGATGCTTTACATGATCCGGATACTGCACAAACAAGAGACATCAAACGGATGAAATACGGCTGGTTCGTCCCCTGAATTTAAACCTCCTCCATTTGCGAGGGAAAAGTATGATACAGTGAAAACTCGCTTAGCACCACTAACAAACACAAAATTCCACCCAAAGTGTACAAATAATGTCGTCAAAAACGATTCTGAACTAAAGCCATCGAACAATCTTCTACAAACATGATATTTGGGAACCCAAGTTCGCTTGATAAAACGAACAAACCTTTAAAGCATATCGTGAAGCAACATATCCTCCCAGCGAGTGACCCAGCAGGATAAAGTCGCCTAGTTGTTTAGCTTTCCGCCACTCCTCCAGCGATTCAACAAACCATGATTCTGCCTCTGAAAGACACCAGAGCAATCAGCAACACTACTTCCATTCATAGGACATAAGCGAATGAACCGGTTCATTATAGTAAAGAAATGATGCAAAAATTAACAATTTTCCGAACCAAAGGGTCTCGCATATTAAGTGACCCCAGTCATGAACCAAACGAAACAAGACCATGCCATGCAAGACGATTACACCATTATGTATTGATACACGAGATATCAAGGCTGAAGTAAATCTCGAGTTGCTTCACCCGTAGTGCGACACCCAACACATCCAGCAAAAAGTGTATGATTGTTTACGATATCGAAAATCAACGAGACGTGAGGTAGTATTACTTACCTTCTGTATTTTTACAAGTAAAATCCGGTCGGCTTGAGGCACCCCACCTGCCATACACAGGAAGAAATATACCCAATGTAAGCTACACATGACTGGCTACACCACCACAGGCCAGGAACTACCCACCACAACTGCATTGCTTTGCGCAGCATTCCGAAGCACGTCAAACCTAATTATGTGAATTGGGGTAGACAAAACATGAGATGACGATGCAGAGTTCTCACCCAATTTGATCAATAGCAATGACTCGAAACTTCGAAGCCAGTGCATCAAAATTACGGAAGAAGAACCCTTGAGAAGCAGCGTAGCCGTGCACAAGCACTATTGTTGGCGCATCAGGTTTGTCAAAAGTCACTGTATTGATAAAGCGAGGCTCATTGCTAACAGACCTGAACCAGCTAACTTTTGAGCCTGGCGGCCCAGCTCCAATGTTCACTTGTTCCACCACATATGGGGTCCTGCAAATAAATACGAGATTCCAAAACATTAATACCGAACACCTACAACTGCTTAAGTTAGTAGGGGAATATCATACTTCACAGTCAACGAAAAATCAAGATAGCTCGATCGCTCTGATAATCTCCAATGCATCTCTTTGAATGCAATTCATTAATAATTCGGACTAATAATTGGAAATCTCATTCAAGATATCAGACCCTGCAGAGAAACTACAATTAACCTCACCAGGTACTGAGGAATGCAACAGGATTGCGATTTTCCGCAAACAATATAGCTGCATAGGTTTTAAACAGAAGGGAGCATCTGACCATTATGCCTCGATTTTTAAAAATTACACACGAATTAAAGGAACGCTTCACAAAGTGACAACATGGAGTTCGACAATTCAGGCACATAACTCCGTCAATCCTTTGTTTATCTGTGGCGTGATTTTAAGTATGAGTTTCGCGCTCATTTGCAAAAATAATCTCAGTGCTCTGATTGTAAGTTGCCACAGCACCAATACATCGATTCAGCTGGAATTCAGAACTCCTCAGACAAGAAGAAGAAGGAGAAGAAGAAAGATTGCGAGACAAGAAAAACACTCACTTCACAAGAGTGAGAAGCTCTTTTTCAGATTTAATAATCTCCTCCCGGGAGGTAGGACTCCATGTTAAAAGTTTCGAGATCGCCGCCATAATAGACTGCTTCTGAACCTCCCCCGTCACTGCCCCAGTCGCTCCAGCCTCCGCCTTACCCATGGCTTCGGACATTATCCGCCGAGGAACAAATCGCATATCCTTTCTCTCCTTCCTCTTTCTCGCGACCACTCAAAACATCCAAAACAAAACCCTACCGAGAAACCCAAAATGCCACAACTCTCCACCAATCTTTCCAAAAACTGCACCCCTCAATCCCAACACAATTCTTCACGTATGAAGCTAAGAAATCTCTCCCTCTCTCTCTCTCTCTCTCTCTCTCTCTCAGTCGCTCGCTTGCGCGCTTGCTATGTTGCAAAGGGGCCAGCGGAGAGGAAACATAAATCCACCACAAGCATTCAACTTTCCCAACACTGAATTCAAAGGTACAGCGAGAGTAACTGTTGTAAAACCCAGCTTAGCAACGACCAGGAAGTGAAGAAGAAGAAGATGAGAAATTCTCCACATCCCCTCTCATCCCCTCATCCCCTGGAACGTGCCCCGCACTGCACTGCTCTGCACAGCGGGACACTGCCCCTTCGTTCTGTGCTGTTTCCTGCCGGCTTTCCGGGCTCCTCCCATGAATCGATTCTGCGTGAAATCTCCCTGGTCCCAAGTTGTACCGCACCTCGGGTTTCACCTGGTTCATTCATTTCGCCACACACCACTAGAATGGAAAAAGTAGGGAAGAAAGGGGGTTGGGACTTTTGTAGGGATAGGATTTGAATCTGGTGCAATGACCCACGCGTATTTCCAGGAACAATCGACCCCCTTTTTCTTGAAATGTTGGGACGTTGGTCACTCCGATGCGTCCGCGTTCGGGTCACACAATATCCTCATTAGCATACACGAGGAACCTAAGCATCTTCATCTCACCGCGTCGCAACGGATTATACAAGGCTTCACTCAGTGTGGAAGTGCACTATTCTTCGAGATGTTTTCACAGCTTGACGTGTAAATCCAAGCCTCAATGTGGGACACTCATCCCATCCTCGAAGAAAACGCCATCTTGTGGTTGCAATACTACACTTATGACTAATAGACCTGACAAACTGCCCATTTTGAGGGCGTTGGACGAGGAAGCATCGCATTTGGAATTTTCCCCCACTGACAAATTCTCCACTATACTCAAAGCCTCGGCCCTAACATCCTTTGGTGAGGCCATGGAAGAGGAGTTCAATGCGGAACAAGGAAACACCTCACAATATGTTCATTCAGAAGCTACTGACATACTGCAATGTGCACTGCTTACCATGACCCCTGAAGAAAAAGCGCACCTCTTACAACAAGGCACAACACTGCCAAAAATGCCTACAATCAGCGGCATCCCTCCTGCCTTCTTCTCAGCCTCGGTGACCAGCATCACGACTACCTTATTCCCGGTCATGACCACCCTCCATCAATCTCCCCCGCCCTCAGCGGACAATAAGCGCCTCTGACATGGTATTCCTTTTGCATGCTGGATTACATCCAGAAAACAACATAGGACAATTGCCAACACTTTTCTTCAGCAGCTACATACGTGATCAAGATTTCATAGCGTTCTTGCGAGATTTCAATACCATGGGCAAATGATTACCCAGCGTCGGATTCACACCAAATTTCACAATTCCGCACATGTCTCCGAGCAAACGCCAAAGATTTATTCGAGTCACGCGCGGACTCCATCACCCTCAGCAGCTGAGCACCATTTCAAAATCTGGGCAAAAAGCTATTTGTCTCAGCGGACTAGCAAAATGTCGCATAGGATTTTCTTGGTAGTAAAAAATATAAGATCGGTGAAAACCTCAACCTGCACTTCTCGAGCCTCATCACGCATGCCAAACTAGCCACCAATGACAAAGGAAAATTCATGAGACGGATTGCTCGCGACCACTTCATTTGCTCTCTTCTACCTGACCTCATGCTCAAAGCGGGAGTAAACCAATTCCTTAATGATGATGCCATGCTCAAACATCTGAAGATAAGCATGGCATTCTCTCGTAGCAATGACACGGGGAGATTGATACCACGACACAAACCATCACTAGTCACCACCCTCAAGGCAACCACCGAAGACCTTCCAGAACTCAAACTAAACAAACATGATTTTGACCTGGCACTTGCAGGTATCACCAAACAACTACAAGCGCTTTGAGCCACCACAAATTGGCAGCATAGAAATGAAAGCAAACTAGTCTAGGGTGTCAAGAAAATCTCCGTCGCCCTTTGACCACTACCCTGCAGCATCGCCAACGATATGGGGCACAATGCCATGACATGTCCAGTGCGCCCTTTCATGCTCAACATGCTTCTTGAATTTTTCTGGCTACTGACACAATAGGCAGCACCCAAACCTTCAAACTAACCAACACATTTGTATTGCATTGTGGCTCAGATGTGTGCACTGCTCAAAGAACATGAAACAATGCCATGATGTCAACCACATTCTTTGCACTTACATTCTATGCTCTCAACTGCATGGCACCCTCACAAAAACTCATTGTTGTGAGACCATAGGTGGTATGAGGACAGATCAACCTCATTAATAAGCAGTGCATAGTGGACACATGCTACAACCTTACTGTTATACCTCACAGGTTGGTGCACCTGCTAAACCTCAAAATCCAACCTACCAACATACAAGTTACCATTGCCAAAGGTACCTGGTATCAACCACTTGGAGTAGTAACCATGTACATTGTTATCTCAGATTATAACTCCACCATAGTGGCCATAACCAATACAAGGGACAAAGTCCCCTTGGCCTGGACTGGCTCACCAAAAACTTCATGTATTCTTGATGTTGCATAGCACAAACTCACCATCAACTCTCAAGGAGCAATACCAAAAGTAGTCACAATGGAGGCTATCAATACATGGCCTGGCATGCATCTTTTCAATGTATCCATTACACCACCAACATATATAGATGCTTACTATGATTGACCTACCCGCTTGAAATTAAAACCCATGGATAAACACATGTATACATGGATTATGCCTCCACTCAGCACCCAGGATGAAGCATCAGTAGCAAGAGCACAAAAAACCAAATTCTTACAAGCTTCAACTTTGCTACTCATTCCATCTCATTCACACACATTGCTAGCCAATAATATCATGGCAGTATGTCACTGGGTTGGGCAACAATACTAGCACATGACAATATAACTGATGTTGCTCCCATACAACAGAAGAGATATAGTGAATTGCTGAAGGAGCACACTGCTATCAAATACAAAATCAAGTGCTTGTTAGACACAAGTGTAGCAAGTTCTTTGTTGTCTCTGTAGGCAATTTGTGTGGTGCTAATTGAAAAAAATAAAAATAAATAAACAGTTCAATTTGGTTTTGCTTTAACTATTAATAATTCAATGCCATTACCAAAAAAAAAAAAAAAATACTTATCCACTTAAAAAAGAGACAATCTTCTTGTCAATTGACCTCGTAATTGGGTTTTGGCAATTATCATTAAAAGAGTCAGTAGAAGAAAAAACAACATTCATTTATAGAGAAGTGTCACAAACATACATATTTACCTAAATAAGAAGTGTTAGGTAGAAGGTAAATGTAGATAGATTTGATATTATCTTGTTACAAAGATTTTGAGTAGCTTCATAGACATGTATTTGACTTTATTCATATTTATAGTTGATTGATAGATTAAAAACTTGGCTAACAATTAAACCATATGTTGCATGTATAGATAGCTTGTGTACAAGCATACAATGTAGCACACTTATAAAAAGCTTGCCTTGCAAGTTAAGACACATGTCTTACAAATTGAATATGTATTACAGGTTTATAGAACATCACTATGTAACTTCTAGTTAGATAGTATATACGAAGGCAAGAGTAAAGCCTTCTTCACTCTTACCAATGCCTTTCTAATCCTTAGTATTATTTCAAGACTTTCTAATCTTCTTGTCTTTGGTAATAGCCATTCTAGTTTCATATTATACCATCTTTGAGTGATTTTGTAGTCTTTTTGAGTAACACAAGAGTATATTGATCTTTTAGTTTTTTGAGATTCATATCCATGATAGTTTGATAAGAGTATTAATTTGTTGTTCTTATTTTGTTTTAAACATGAGTAGAGTATTCCACTTCTATTATTGTGTTTTGAAGATTATGAACTATCTACCTTTAAATCAACTTTTAAAAAATGTAGACTATCATTCTTTCTAGAAATTTTCATTTTCTATTAAGAGTTGCAGATTATCTTCTTATAATTTGAATTGTGAATTTATTTGAATTATCTATAGAAGAAAAAATTATAGATGCTACTTATAGTGGAAGTGAGAATAGATTTACAACTATTGCAAATCTTCATGAATTTGTCAATACTCTTAGGATCAAAATCTCATGTATTTTTAACATGAAGCATAGAGGTACTATTTCTATGCCTATGGATGAAGTCAACAATGAAGTTCAAATTCTATACCAAGAAGTTGTACAATTGAAAGAAGTAAGTAGATCAAGTTTATAATTAAATGTAAAAAACCTTGTTTCTACAAGTATAAGGGTAGTAAGAATAAATATGTTGGCAAAGTTTGATAGAATAAGATTAAAGTTTCAAGGATTCTTACAACAAGTGAAGCCCTTTTTAAAGTTGCATTCTTTTTAATATATTGATGGATTTATTCAAGTTGGATTTATAGCTGCACTTCTATTCAAGAGTGATTTCTCTTGGTTTGTATCTTTGGTGGAAAAGAATTCATAACTCTTTTATGATTTGAATTTATTCTTAAAAGCCTTTATATCCATATTTCAAAAAAAATAATTGAATAAAGGTAGTAAAAATTAAAATTCTATTTTTACAACAAAGATCACATTCAACTACCATACATGTTGTAAAATTCCAAAATCTTGCTTACAATATAGATTGGAATGACAAAGCTTTTACCAATTAATTTTAATATGAGTTGAAAAGTAATATCAAAGATTTATTATTGATAATATTGAGAGTATATTTATTAAAGTAATTTATTACTAAAGCCATTGCATGCAATAATGAATTCTTTGAAAGATGCTAAGAACAAAGCTTTGATTGGAGATGTATAAGTGAAGTCATGAAAATAGCTTCTAAGTTTGGAGAAGCTTATTTATCAAGGTCAAAACCTATGCAAATTGATAAGATACATTTTAAACTTCTTATTGAGTAAGAAAAGATTTGAAGTTGTCAAGAAGGATTATACTTGTATTATAAAGAATCTAAATAAACTACTCAATATTGTCCAAAAAATAAGAATATAATCTTAGAAGACCAGCATAGTTGCCAAAAAAGAAGATGTGATAAAAACAAGTTTCTTTAGCTACAATAAGAATCATGTAGCTGAAATCTTAAATAACATCTAATAAAGATTTTATTCTTTTTTAGATTTTTTAGTTTTTTTTACAATAAAAGTTCATTTAGGATCAAAAAATCATAAGTCTTTATCTTATTAGATTCAAGAATGTCAGCTTATTTTATAGACAAAG